TTTTCCCTGATTCTACATGCAGTATATAGTACATGTTACTACTCTTAAAATACAAGCTACTCATTGCTAATAAGCCTAGTAATTGAAGCTCTCGGGCATGTAGGGCGCGCGAGGCTCGGGACTTGGCTCCGGTCTGTTCCCGCCGCGCGCGGTCGGGTGAACGCGGGGCAAGGGTCCAGATGATGACGTGGCCTTGGCGTCCCGCCCATCAGTCCCGCTTACCAGCACCGCCCTCCCCTGATGGCACACCAGGCGCCATCATCCCCGCTCTTATGTTCGCTGCCAGCAATGACGACGACCCTTCCTCCGCGCGAACCGGCTGGCTGGTGCTGGTGGGCCCAGTGACTGAGGCTCGTCAGTGGGGCGCGCTCGAGGCTCGGGCGTTGGGCATGCGGGCGCTCGGCCCCGGTCTATTCCCGTGGCGCGTCTGAAGCGACGACGTCTCTGCACCCGGTGCCATCAGTTTCCGAAGAACGCGCGCCCCGTGCCTGTCGCCTTTGCCGATGATGGCGACAAGCCACACAGCACTGGGCGGGCGGTCAGCAATGCGTCCGCGCATAGCTTCTCCTGCATTGCTGCAGTATGCAGCAATGCAAGAGAAGCCATGCAGCAATATGGTATCCTATTTGGCTGTGACAGCGCGTGAGTGACGCAAGAAGCAGCAGTGCGCACAGGAGCAGCGGCAGCGCAAGGCGGCAAGCGCAAGAGCGGCGGCGCGTGCAAGAGCGGCAATGCTCAAGGGCAGCGGCACGTCATCTGACGGTTCCTGCCGTGCTTGGGAGGCACGCGCCGGTCCTTCAGGAACGGCATCTGAGATCCCGATTTACAGGTTACCCGACGACGACGCCACAAAGCTATAACTTCACGCCTCAGTGCAGCTCGGTCCACGCATTCCACATCATCCAGATCAAGTACTACACGTATTCATACAATAGAGAGTCCAGCAATATATTCTACAACTGCAGCAACGTTACCTTGAGCTTCCTCACTGCCTTCGTCGTCATTCTCGTCATTCTCGTCGTCACTTATGTCTCCACCAGTACCACAGACATCATCTGGACGAGTCAGCAATGGCGGGATTTTGTCGACTGTGAGCTGGACAGAGGAAAGGCGCGCCTGACTGACCATATCAACTTCGGCCTCTCCGGACCCTTGAGTGCCGGTGTATCCAGGTAGGTCGTAGACTTGGAAGACGCGCCGCAGTAGGTGGTTGTTGACAGCCTGGCGACGCAGGGCGAAGTCTTGCATGGCACCGTACAGTTGATGCGAGCAGCCCAGACTGGCCAGGGCTGCTCTTAGCAGCTTGTCCTCATCGATAATGGCGGTGTGGAGACGGCGGACCTCGATATTAAGGCGCTCGAGTTCTTCGTTCGCGCGTGCGACGCGGCGATACATTTTGATTGTCTCGCGGGTGATAGGCTGCGCCCATGGTTTCTGACGGACATCGTTCCTGGTATCCTGAAGGAGCGAAAACTCCTCCAGGAAGGCGTAGTGTGTGACCTCCGACCAGTCGAGCGTTGGCCTTGGTGGGTTCATGGTTACAGCGACGGCGTTGTAGTCGGCGACAGCCTTCTTGATTGTCTTGCTACGGACCTGCAGTGATTTTGCAATATGTGTGCGCATCTTGTAGCCTGCGCAACTAAGTCTTGGTGTAGGATAAACCTGAAAATCACATACCGGTATGTGAAACATTGAGCTTTTGAAGCTCAAATAACCGCTGCACGACAAGACGATGAAGCTTGTCGAGGGCGCGCCGATACGTCCGTTCGCAAATGTACTTGAGAGCCTCCTGATATGCAGGTGTCGTTGGATCCCAACGTTCCTGGATGTCCATCTTGATCTCGAGAGCGACGACCTCTGCACTGACACGATCGTATTGTTCTGCCGCAACTCGCCGCTCTGTCTCCAGCTTGCGCGTCCGGGTAACATCGCGGGAATAAGCCTGTTTTTCAGCTGATGGTGCGTGGGATAAGAATGTGGTCTGCGTCCGTTTGAGCTTCGGCTCTAAGTCGCGCAGCTTCTGGAGCAGCTCAACGTACAATGTTGAGTGGATGTCGTAGTCGAGCTCGTCGCCCAGCGTGGCAAAATACGCAAGCTCCTCGTCGCGCCACCGGGTGATGTCACCTGCGGTGATTCCCTGCTGCTCCATGCTTTGCCTGAGGGTCTGGCCTTCGATGTCGACGATCTCCAGCGCCTGCGTGTAGTTGTCGAGAATGAAGTCGCCCGAGTTCAAGTATTTGTCGGCATCCCATTGCTTGAGAAATGCTTCGATCAAAAGTCTACGGCGGTAAGCAGAGGCATACCGAATGACAGGGGCGAGGTCATTCGACCTGCTGAAGACCCTCTCCATCGTCTCGAAATCCTCGATGCCGGCGCCCTCGATAACGTTCGGGTGGAAGCGAAGTTGGCAGATGTGGGAGTGTGAGTAGCCATGGAAGGCGTTCACGCACATGCGTGCGTGTTTCTTGACATACTCAGGGCCGAGGGAGCTGTTCTTGACAGTTATTTCCGCGGAACAGCCAATGTCGTAGCCTGCAAGCCACTCGTCAGGCATTGTTTCGAGGGCCTTCGCAACAATTGCAAGAGGATATTTAGCTCTATTTAGCGTAGGTTAGAAGAGTAGTGTAGAGGAAAGCTCAAGGACTCACAATTCGCCGCTACGCACCATATCGCACAGCCAGAGAATAAATCCATGGCGGCACGCGGAAGCAAACACGCCTGACTCCTCATACATCTTCCACATCTTCTTCTTTGCCTCGGCCGCAGCTGCCTTCCAGTTATCGACGCATTGATCAAGGAGTTTGTGCAGGAGTGCGGCCTGCACCTTGTCGATAATGGTCGTGTCACCAGCGGGCGCAGTAGAGTCGCCTGCGTTGCCAACAGGTGCTACAGAATCGCTTGCAGGGGTCGCCATGGCAATATCGATGTGCTCGTTACTGTCGTCAGCTTGAGTTCGCTTGGTGCTTTCTTCAAGGAGCGCCAAAGCGACGCCGTCCGTGGGGTCCCCTTCCAGCTCGTCAACGTCCTCCCAATCGGCCTCTTCTCTGTCTTCGTCTTCCTTGTCGTTGATAGCATGATGGACCTGGTGCCGGCGCGCATCTAGCTGCTTAGATTTACGGACCGGGACCTCGTTTGCGAACCGGTTGACGTAGGATGTGGACAGCCAATAGGAACTGTCGTCGAAAGAGCGCATGTCGCCTGTCACCCGGTTTGCCACCGTTGCCATCCGCTTGAGGCTGTTGTTACCGTCGAGGGACCATAGTCGACTAAATGACAAAGGCGGTTCATCTTTAAGCTAAGTTAAATGTGAGATTTGTGCAACTTTAGACGTATGGTGCACGTACCTTATAGCAGCACGCGCGGCAGGCGTTCAATGGCCGCCAGTCAGGGGCGTCCCATCTAAGGATGGCATGCAACCGTTTCTCCACAATCCGTGTGATGCGGAGGTAGACTTCGAAAGTATCCGAAAATACCTTGCGGAGGTATTCACGATATGGAATCTGTGCGAGATATTAATCAGTTGTAACCAGGTCAGAGTATAGATACGTACCATGTAGTAGTCGCAAACCACCTTGGCAAACGCTTCAATACTGAATGAAGCTTTTCGTTGGCGAAGTCGGTATAGCAGATCCAGCGTCTTGACAGAGACGGCCACTTCGGGCCGTCCGGGTGTCTTTGCGATGTACCCGTGCTCAAGCAGATCAAGAGCGGGCGAGGTGCTGTCAGCAGGGCGGAAGACGGTGATCTCATTTTGAAGGGTGAAGATGTCGTAGGTTTTGATGCAATATGGGAGTCGCACTGATTTGTCGATGGGCTGGGGGCTGCGAGCGTGAGTGTCGTCAATCAAGGTGAAGTGTGTCTCCGTGGACCGGGGCGCAGTTGACTCTGCCCTGCTTGGCGAGCATTCGGGAGGCGAATTTGATGCAGGATACTTCCATCGGAGGAACCGGTCAGCCAGGGCATCGAGAAGAGGGCTCCAAGCAGCCTCTTCGCGCATCCGCTGTTGGCGCCACCGTCTAGTTTGTTTATACCAGCGTAGCTTCCACCTGTAAGCAGTTTCGTGAGCTCCATGAAGGAAAGAAACGGGCAGATTAATGACCTACTGCGACCGCAGCACATCGCGAATTGCGTGTTGAAATTCGGGTGCTGCGGGCATATCATCGTCGACACCATCTTGATTGATTCCGAGTCGTTCCAGGTCCTCTTGTGCAGCGAGATCGATGTCCATAGGCTGTTCTTCTTGTGTGCCTTGTCGAAGGAGGTTGACGGTGTCTTGGCTGTATCCTATTAACGCGCCATCAGCGATGCAACGTTAGACAGACAGATTGTGTACAGACTCACCAGTAAGAGCTTTCTTGATCTGCTCTTCCACCCGAGCCTTCTCTTTTGCGAGTGCTGCACGCCCCAATGTCTTCGATATCGCTCCTCCTGTCGTCGCTGTTGTACGAAGCCTGTGCTCCCACGGTTTGACGAAAGTCGACTTTTTCACTCCCTTCGCGCCACTGCTTCTTACTGATGAGGTCGACATGGGATCCGGACCACGTATAACAGATGTTATCGTGGCTTGGAGCGAGGGGGAAGGAGGGGAAGGGCAGGATGACGCGGTGTCAGTCGAGGTTGCGAGTTAACGTTGCGAGCGCCAGTTTGCCGCTCAAATCCTCGTGTTCATCTGGCGTGCACGACCGCGTCTACACGTCTGCGGCTCGCCGTGCATTTCCCCTTCGCATAAAAATGCCCAAAGAACTTCGTGAAAGTAGCAAACCACCCACACCGCGCGATAAAATCAGGGTGGTTTTATTGGGTAGCGGGGAGTACTCGGGCGTGTTCAAATGGAACGAGTGAGTGTTTTGAACTCTCACAGCCCGTTCTACGCTGAATACTTAGTTTGTAGATGGCCTCTGTATCCTACTGGCCCTGATGCCAGTCCTTTCCCCATGGCGGTTATCTGCACTACCGCCTGGCAAGTAACTTCCCTTGAAGTGCTCCTCCCTTACTTCCAAATGATCTGCAACACGGATCTCTCCCAACGCCAACTGATCGAGGCGATCGAAGCACTCGCATCTCCGCACAATCCAGCGGCGGCCAAAGCTTTGAACACTAACAGGCAATTTGATCACTTTTATCCCTGCCTCGCTCCCAACGACGACCGAGAGGCTATCTACACGACATGGTGCGTATGATGATCTCTCATTCGAAGTGGCCTTCACTGCTCAGTTATTACCTGTAGGGCGGACACACGTCCCCAATACCAAGGCCAGGAAAACCCCCGGTTGCCGAAGAAGCTGCCGACCTTGCTCTCGGCGATCGAGTTCATGATACTGCGGGGCAAAGATCAAATGGAAGTGGAGTCTATGGAAAGCTCGCGGCGCGAGTTCAATAAATTCCTACAGGCTATCGCAGATAGTAGGAAGACCACTGCAAGCCGAGCCGAGGAGAGTCCGAACGGAAGTCACAATGTAGGACACGACGCGCCGAATCCAAACCCTCTGCACAGCCATGCGCCTCATCAAGACAAGGGCAAGAGCGGACATCAGCACTCTCACGCAGCCCCCATGCCATCTGCTGAATATGCAGCCGCTTCGCAGCAGGCCCCCGTTGAGGTTCTTACCGATGACGAGGTTCCGGAGGCCGCAGCGAAGCACGCTTCTCAGAAAGGCAAGGCGAGACACGGTGAGTATTCGCGTTTCGTTTTGTGTGACATAAAGTCTAACGCACCGACTATCCAGCATCCGAGACTGGCAGGCGTGAGTCTCACATTCTCCCAGGGTACTCTGGTGCCTCCGGCAACGTCAACATCAGCGATGCCGAGGAGGAGCACCAACCGCCCCCACGTCACACAGACACGTCTACACGGGACCCTCACGGTATAGTGCCCACTGACATAATACACAATTTGCTCAACCTCCGCTGTAGTGTATCAAAATTACCGGGACTTCACTGGGCAAATCACCGGCCATACCTACAAGTGCCCCTTCGACCTCAGGACCGACATCCATGTGCCGTCTCTCGGCACATTCCTCGACGACTACGTTGATCGTTTCGGCTATGAAACTAAGTTCATTCACAGGGTCTACAAGGCGTCAGAGAGGTCAACGGATCGATACGACTTCATGGCGCGCACAAGTCGCTTTTTATCCCAGCGGAAGCGA